TGGACGTGGCTGACTACAGAACGTCCAAGTACTGCTTGCACTACTTTTCTGTTGCAATCATATAAGTTTTAACTAGTTACTAACTTACTTTTGTTCTTCAACGAAACAAAAGAACAAGAACTAATTTCCGACCACTTCATGGTGTGGAAATATGAATGCTTTTTAGACAATGGCGGTACTCGGAGAGTGAAAAGGACGGGGGTAGGTGAAGAACCAGTGTAGCTAACAATACATGCGCACTTTTCCATAAATAATTATAAGAACCTCTCTTCTGGAGGCTGAAAATTGACCCAGAAGTTAAGAAAATGCTGACTAACGCCCAACCAGAGATTATGCACTAAGCACGAACTTTTTTTATCAATTTGTATTGAGCTGAAACCAGCTAATAAAAGCTGAATACTGTAGTAAGCTAACTTTTCTCGATATAGTTATAGCACGTATGCTTAAAGGTAAACTTACTAGAAACTGAGCGAACTCTAGGGGATAAATTACGTTCAAAAGACAAAGTCTGAAACTCTGTACTATACGAAACTGAAGAACTTTTATCCCTTAGTCCCAATGTGTGTTATTTGATTTCATCATCACTCAACACTTTTTTATTTGTTTTAGTCGACTGACCCTGTTGGAGACATGACACTTAGTGAAAAATTAAAGAAATGCAGAAATACTTTAAAGGTAGGAAATTTTTATATGCTGTTATGTTTTGTGTACAGGTCTATGCGCAGTTCTATATCACACGTATTAAGCTAACACAGAAAACCAAGTATTTTGCAAATATTTAAGAGGGTAATAGTTCGCTCTATATTTTTTGACTGCAGGTCTACGCAATGTCACACTGCATACAGAGCAATGCAACAAGTATAACTTTTGAGTACCCTGGTAAGAATTCCCAATGTTAGATAATCGATCTCTCATACTGTAGCTAATTCACCTCACCTCACTTCACAGCTTAAGTTGTTTCTGAGGCTGGCAAGCATTCAAACTGAGATTAGGAGTAATCAAGCAGCTTGAAAGTACGCTCTTTATGCTTTCATCAGCCATTGCACAGTGTATGGGTTCCGTTAGAGAACATCCTAAGCAGTTCCATGGCAATTAATAAACCATTGCATATATTTACAGGGTAATTAAGTACTATAAACTGAGTTGATAACGTAAATTGGCCACCGTAAAGCGTTTCAAAGCTAACATTTCGAGCTTTAGCCCTTCGTCAGAGCGAATGAGCATATATTAACAGACTGTCAGACACCTTCAGGTGCCTTAATTGTGTAGAACATAAGATTCATATTCCAATCACCAAGCCCAAGTGACTTTAAATGCACCAAGCAATAGGAGAACAGCCAGAATTTCCAAAACATGGGATAGTAGGGGGAGCACATCGGCTACTGCCATGGACCTCGCGAATTTTTGCCGTCCCTTGGGTCACAAGTAGATTGAGTAAGTTGTTGATTTTCACCTCAACATTTCATACACGTCGCAAATTTGCCACTCTCGACTCTCATTTATCCAATTCCTTCATCAAATGCGCTAAAGTGATGGAAGAACGCATCTGCAAAATTACATACATAACACTATTGATTTTCATGTCTTTACTTGACAGGATGTGCGAATATCACCGGTTATCCCGTGGACCTATGCTATAAATGTAAGAAATACTTTTTGCTGGTTAGTTTTTGAACCATCACTGAATGCTTATCAAGAAGACATCTCTGATGCCTTTGCTATTTGGTTGAACGCCACTGCTTACATGACTTGTCGTGCAATCGTTTTCATTCATTTTTCACGTCGCGTTACAACGTGAATTTTACTGCCGTGATGCCTTTACTTTACAGTCGATCCTCCAGGATCACCAGACAAGGATAGGCAGGTCCGAAACCTCAGCATTAGTTCGATTGCTATTGGAGAGGGCTATAGATTCACTGTGAATTTGACATGGATTCCTCCTCTGTATCCCTACAAGACAATAGAGATCTATTACATCCTTGGCTATGGTTCCACCACTGTAAGTACATTAAGGATAGTAATTGTTAGAGCTGTGTCAATCAAAGGGGCAGAAGAACCCCGCTAACTCTTGAACTGTCACAGGAAACGGAAGAAAGTTCGATATTCCGTGAGCTTGAACTTACTCATCACCAATCATCTTCAAAGGGAGGGGGAGGGGGAGGGGTAACCGTAGCGACAGGATACTCGGAGAAAAAAAATTGGCTTTTTACCCGCTTCTCCTCTACAAAGCTAAAAGTTTATAGTTTAAAACCCCAAAATTAATATATGATTTCTCCACCTTTTTTTAAGAAAACGTCATACTCAATCAAGTCATTAGCACCCGCTGAAACTTTTGAAGTAACGGTGAGGATTTATCTCTTGGCGAATGTTTCGGATATGTTAAATGCAAGTTAAGAGAGAGAATTTCTTTTGTAGCCTAGCCTGTTCCCGCAGCATAACATGAACAAGAGAAGAGAGATAGTATTTTCAAATTTGCAAAGTTTTCAGTTTATTGCGAGAGGAGAAACACAGCAGATGACTGACTGACGAAGCTTCTGAATTAAATCTAGTACGGAGAGGATTAGTTGCTGCATTTTTTTCATGGGAATGCCTTTTTTCGAATAAAAAACAATCTGCAAAATCCGTAAAGCAATGTAATATTGTCTTGAAAATAATAACAAAAAGTTGTGTGGTTGCTTCCCCTCAGGTTTTGCCTTTTTTCCAGAATTCTGCACCTGTAGGTGTTGATAACACTATTTCAATATCTACTCCTGGTAAGAAAATTAGAACATTAAACTGTCACCTGGCAACCGAAACTAAGTAAATAGTCTGAATTTAAATGTTGATTAGAAAGTGGAAGTACATGAAGAGGGTCTCAATAGGGGAAACCGTTAGCTGTAGAACGGCCATATAAAATTAGACGTTAGGCTTGAAAATTAACAAATTTTAACCGTTAGCACTAAAAAAATAAATAAATAACCGTAGAATTTCTTCCTATCAACATAAAGTCATTTTCGGTCATTTCCGGTCATTTTTGGTCATTTTGGTTTGACTGTTATCGTAAAACAACCAAATAAAATTTTTAATTTTATTATTAATTTTTAATATTAATTATTTATTTATTTATTATTAATTAATTTTATTATTTATTTATTATTATTATTATTATTAATCATTTTAACTGTTAGTCATAAGAGCCATCACCCCATTGAGACCCTACAATAATCAGTGGGTAGTTCATGTTGGTGAGAAGAAAATCAAATCTTGTAAAACTTTACTAACTCTAAATATTGTTGTTTTTCTTTTTACAGCTGTTAATCCTGCTGAGTTGGTGGTGCGAAACTTGGAGCTCAACGATTTCATCTTTTCACCACAAACGGGGACCTTTGACTTAAATGCGACTTGGCACCAGCCCTCTTTAAACTACAGCCGTGTGCTATGGTACTCCATCAGCTACCAAGTGAATGAAGGAAGTAAACGCTCTCTCAACACCGTAAGTATTGCAAAAGATTCGTCATTACAGAAAGTCTCTGACGTCACAGCAGCCACATTTCTCGGCACGAAACTAATCAAATAGTGGCCATGTTGAAATGCAATTTTTTTTTCAATCCACTAAATTTGTACAGTTAGAGTTTTTTGCTGGAAGGACCACATACAAGAATGAAAATTAATCACAATTGCCCAAACGATGGCTATTAATAAGTGCACATAGATAGTGGACAATGTAGATAGATCTCGGGTTGTTTTGATTTATGACCATTTACGGTTAAATGAATGTACGTCTCAACGACTGCCTATTTGCAAATTGACTCCCTCCACTATATCCTTTCCATTTCCTTACTACGATCGACGAATCAGCTTGGCAAGACAAATCTAAGCCATAACATTAAATTAATTTCCTATCTTAGAAAGCACGTTTTCTAATACCCGGAACACCAGTAGTCTTCACCAAACGTTTGATATCCACCTTTCACCTATACGTGAAAGCTACCAACACTCAGTTAATAGATGTCTTCTCCACTTGCTCATTTAATTATTGCTATTCATCTTTACAGAACAAAACATATTCTATCATTCATGGAATCTTACATGGAGAGCCTGTTTCATTCGATGTAAGTGCGTTTTACCGTTTCACTTCGACGCTATACTTTTACAGTGGGCAAGCCACGTCATTTTTATTAATGACACGTCCTGTGGTCGAGTTTATCAAAAAGCAGTTTTGTGTGAGTGATCCTTGTATCAATGGTCGCTATGTGACATCTCGACTAGTGACCTCTGCCTCAGTTTCTCTCTCTCTGTCTCCGTCTATTAAATCTGCCGTTTGTGTGACGAGCCGAAACGACGGTTTCAAATCAAGCTACTTGCTCCACTCCATCGCTTTGACTAAGGGCTAACACTCGAAACTTCAGATTTGAAACTCTTTACGGTGGCCAATTTACGCTATCAACACAGTTAATTACCCTGTTATACTCTCCCACCGACGCAGCATCACCGTTTTATTCGAAACTTACCCCCTTTACTTACTGCACTGTCGTATCTTTTTCTACAGATCACACCCGTCTTTACGCATTCTGATATAATTGGAAGGGAAAAGGAAATGGTCAACAGTGCTCCTCGTAAGCGACTCAACTCACTTTTGTGACCTGAGAGCATTGGCTTTGAAAGTTAATGTTGACCAATCATTGTATTTTGCGCTTTAGATAACGCTTGTAAAATAACATTTCTTAAGGGATTTGAGGCAAAGTATAAGATTCCAAGATTTCTGTAAGAGACACAAATGTAGAAATATGATCATTGTTAAATTACAACCCTATTTTCTACTTTCTACTTCTGATCTAACGCTGTCTAAAACTTGGACGATCTTAATCCACTTAGTCAGCGGAAGGTTGTCGCTTCTTTCATTATCCTTTTCATTTTTTATTTATGTATTTATTTGGATAGGTTTATTTTGTTTCATTTTCAGCTAATCATGGATTAATTTTTGTTCATAAATCTTTTTAAAAGGCCCCAATTCGTCCCATATTGTGGTGCAGAACTTGGACTTTGAAAGTTTCGTCTTGATACCTTTGACTGGACAATTCCGTTTAAATGTCTCCTGGAAAAACCCTTTCTTCAATTACAGCCAAATTTTATCTTACTCTGTCTCATTTAAAATAGACGGCGGGGACGAAAATGTAACGCAAACGGTAGGTAACTTTCTATGTAAATCACTGGCAGAAATGATTAGTTTTGTTCTTCTGCCAAACTTGTACAGAAAGTATTTTAAACTTAAAGAAGCTACTTCAACTTAAGTTGTTTTCTAGTAGTAGCCCCTTAGAAATAAAAAAATATTAGAGTAATGTAAGTTATTGATCTGTGAGATTCGGTCGATAACCTGTTACTACGTTGCTACACACATATTATTGCTGTATATATATTGCTCAACTTATTCCCTGTACTCTCAAACTTACACTTGTACATTTCACGTTTTCTTTAGAACAGGACCTATTTAATCATATATGGCATCACACACGGAGAGCCAGTAACAGTTAGTGTAAGTATTGCATTTTAAGAGGTAAACAGAAGTGTCACCTTTCATCACCGTTTCATTAATCGCCATGATCTGACTTACAATTGGATTTCACTTTTCCTTGATAATGCATTGCTACCAGCTGTTTGACGCAATTTCTTTCATGCATCGAAGCAAAAATTTACACACTCACTCACAAAATATACTATTCCACAGGTCATACTTACTTTTCGAAAATAAGGTTTCCGTTTTTTATTTGTTTATTATTTTTTTTTTACAGGTTACCCCACACTTTGCCAACAGTAGGATTCAAGGAATAAGTTCCTCTGACACCTTTAACGCACCTGGTTAGTAAATCAACCCGATGATCATTTTATGGGAACCCGGCTAAAAAAGAATTCACCTGTAGCTATTTCCACCTCGCTTTGCATCCCCTTCCACTTTCAAACCATTGCGACAAGCTTCCTAATAGTTCGCTGCTTTCCCTACATACTTCTGTAAGGAGGCAGGCAGGCTATGAGAGTAAAATTTGTCTCTCGGGAACTCACCTACAATAAACCCCTAGTCAGGGTTGTGGGTACGGGCTCCAACATTTCCAGCCGACTGTTCAGCGCGCGAGACATGAGACCACTGTTTCTTTAACCAAATTATGATGATAATGGTGATCATGATACATGCCTTGTTTGTATCCCTTCAGTGCCTCCTGATGGCAAACTCATGGTACAGAATCTCACCATTGCAGGAAAGTTTGTCGAACATGAACAGAGTAACACATTTGCCGTGAACTTCTCGTGGGAACCACCATCTTTCAAGTACAAGCAAATCGCTTATTACAACGTGTCATGCCATTTCTCAGGTTATCCACGTGATGAGTTTCAAAGTTATACCAAAACCAACTTGGTAAGTATTAAAAGCCTAACAAAATTTAAAACTATGGGGTGTTTGAAAACACAGTTATCAAAGATGCATTTTGGACCTATTGTCCATCAATTTTGAGCGGGTTTTATCATGTGAAAAGTACGTTCCACCCCGAAACAGTCTCTCTGGCAATTTGAAAGGCAATAGGTTACTCTTTGATCCACTTACTGTTTTCATTATGTCATCATCATGTGTTTATGTAGCACAAATATATTCATGAATTTATTCATTTATGTCTTACAGCAAAGAACATTATTCAGAATAGCAGGAATACTGCCACAGCAACGTGTCCACATCGAGGTAACTAATTTTGCCCAGTGATTGAATCCAAAAGAAAAAACCGGTTAAAAGACGGAGGACGCTGAATGAATAAAGATCTGAAAAGCAGTCTAGTGAGATTTATTATCACCTAGATATAAAATAAAAATTAATTCAAGCATAGTTTTACTCCTCATCTGTCATTTTTTCGTTGGATCATTAAACTGTAGGATTGTCTGACTTCGCCATTTTTTTCCTTTTGTAGGTAACGCCTTTTTACAGCAACAAGTACATTAGAGGAAAACGTAAGGAAGCAGAAGGTACTGCACCAGGTGAGTCGCTACATAAGGTTTTAATGAGTGTAGGAAGGCTTAGAATTATAAAATCTCAATTGAACTTAGTTTACAAAAAAACAACAACGCCAATGACTTTAGAAAACAAAGCTATAAATCAAAAATATATTTTTGTCATTAGTCACAGAAACGAGGGGGCAGATATTAATTACAAATGAGTAATTCCAACCCCTCATGAAAAAAGTAAAATGAGACAATAATTAACTTATCGACAGCGTTACACAAAAAATCACCACAACCGTGTCCATGATTAAAAAACCATTGCAAATATGTCTCCTATACATGAAGCCATGCTTCGTTTGAATACATCCAGGACCTAGAGCGGAACTGGTGAAAGTTGCTGGACTGCGACATAGTGGACTGGTGTCTAGCGCAGACGAATCATTTCGCACGACAGTGTCATGGCAGAAACCGCTGTTCAACCACAGCACAGTTCAACATTACAGATACAAGATAAGCAACATCTCGTCGAAAACTGGAAAGAAAACGAGAAGGGCTACTGACTTCGACACATACCTTACCACGGTCAGTAAAGTTCCTGAAACTGTTCATTCATCATTATTCATCTCTCTATTCATTATATGATGGTTTATGGATTTACAGATTCATTCATCGACTTGCGTAGGCATGGATATATTTTTCAAAATGTGCTTGCGATCTATTGTTTAGCCTTAAACTAATACATAATCGTAAAATGTATTTAAAAATACTAGTACTAAATTGCAATTTAATTTGTCATTACAGAGATCTAATAACGTCACAATCGACGGAATCCAGATGGATGAAGAATTTGAGTTTAGGGTAATTTTCGAATCTTTATTTTTGGGGATTAATCTCGAAAGACTGAGTAAAATAAACAAAACTAAAATCTAGATATAAGAATAGTTCATAAGAAGTGTTTTAAGTTTGCAATCGATCATATTTGATTTTTTAACATCAACAGAAGTGATGCCTAAGTTTGATTTTTAGACCGGTATGACTCATTTCAATTTCGACCAAGAAAACAGTTGATCAAGAGCTCTGCTTGAGTCCAATCCATTCATCTTCTTTATTTATTCATTTAAATAATAACTCCTACACTGTTCGTCGTTTTCCTCGTTTTGCTGTTAACAGGTTATTCCAGTTTTTGAAGTGAACAATATCATGGGGCAAGAAGACAGGATATCGATCGTCAGAACTTCTTTATCTGGTAAGAGAACAATACCAAAGTTCCTTTCGAGGCGAACCTCTTACGTCGCTCGATCACGGAATCGTGGCGGTAAACATGTGATAAAAATAGATGTTTCTTGATGATTTGCACAGTATGGCTACACCCCAAATAAAAACAGTAACATGGTTGGATTTATTTATAAGTTCCAAAAAGACATGGTAATGTTAAAATGCAATCATTATGGTGAAGAGAAAGACTAGAACACTCAAATGCAAGAATTAATAGGCTGGCTTTTACTGTGTACTGTTTGAACAACGAAATGTAAGCACAATTGGTGATTAAACGACGTCTATGGTCAGTTCCTTGAACTTAACAGATCTGTTCGCATTATTCTCTGACGAGATTATCGTGTTATAATTAGCTATGGGCAAGTCGTTTTCCTTTATTACACTAATATCACTTATTCATTCCTCAGCAGACCCTCCGGTCTCGCACCCAATGTCTTCAGGTGAAATAATTGCACTAGTCATCGGTTCGTTGCTGTTAATTTTGGTTGCACTTTGTTTAATCACCTGGTATCACAGAGAGAGACAGAGGCGTCTAAAGGCTGACGGACTCATTCCAGGGTAAAAGGCATTCTACTGCGTAAAATAGAGTCCATTCAATCAATGTAAATTACCTTCTTCTTTAATAAAGAGAAAAAATCTTTCGTCTATCAGAAGGAAACACTCAAGTACTAGTTTTAAATAGTAGACGAACGCTAGAAAGAAATATTTTACATTTTGGATCATTTCTTATACGCACTGACAAAGCTGCTCTGATTAAATGGATTTTTTTTAAGTAAGACCCCCTTGTGAAAGTTTGCAGAAAGATCCCTTAAACAAAAGTGGGAAATATTGCGAAAAAAATTTGATTTGAAAACACTTTTGAACATCTTTCACCTTTTTATCGATGTCATTGGTACCACCCTCTAATGTCACTAAGATGGGTCACGTGGCCCAAGTAAACTTCTCTCAGTTTTCTCATTTGTCTTCATGTTATTCATCGTGATATTTCTGCTTTTCATCCCACAGTAAAAACGGTTCGATAATAGACCAGTGGGAGGTTGATCCGGACCGTGTGACCCTGGAAGAGGAGATTGATGAGGGAGCCTTTGGAAAAGTGTTCAAAGGAACTCTTAAAGGACCATCTACACTATCATTTAATTCCACTTTTAAAGCCTCGCGGACCATAAAAGGAAATAATATGTGCACAGTCGCAGTGAAAATGCTCCACGGTAAGTATTATTTCTCCGTTGTACAATAAATAGACTGTACTCAAGAAAAGCAGGTGATGATGTAGTCTGAAGGTTCTGATGAGACTGAATCCCCAAATTATTTTAAAAGTTGGTGATATGATACCAGTGTTACTGCATTGCAATGAAAAGGAAAGAAGATGTAATGATAAGACGCACCTCTTGAATAAATATTTTTTCACAAGTATGATCTGCAAGCTATGCATATTTTTCTTTCAGAGATGAGAGACAGCGACCAAAGAAGAGATTTTCTGGAGGAAATTAAACTCATGAAGGATGTGGGATCACACAGGAATATCGTGAACATACTGGGATGCTGCACTATACAGGAACCTATGTTTTTACTTCTTGAATATGTCCCGTACGGAAGCCTCCTTAAATATCTCAGAAAACACCGTGGAAAGGTAACTGATTGCAAGTTACATAGATGAATGTATATAATAACCGCTTTCGTTTACAACGCTGTTAAGTCACCATGCCATGTAGTATTGTATTTTATCCCTGTTATTCAGGTTTTTTTTTTACTGCGATGGTGATTAGTAAACATTTGATTATTATCATTATTATTATTATTATTGTTATTATCATTCATATAATAATTGACTCCCCTAGTCTATTGAGGATCTGTAGCTTTATAACACAAGGCAACAGAGGGTAATGGTCACGACTTTAACGTCGCCTGCTTGAAATTGTCTTTCATTTTTTACCTAAAAAGCCTTTAAAACCCTCTCAACCTTTTCATGTCTCCCCTCAGATGAAAGAGAATCTTGCAGAGACCCCCCGCGGACCGTATCACTCGACCTACTGTGAGACATACTGCACAAAGGAAGGGATATCCATTAAGGTATAAATAAGGCTTCGCCAATCTTACTCTATGTTACGTAACAACGAATGCCTTTCATTTAACAAATGTACTCCTGTTTTTCTCGTTACCATATTACCACCAATGGCGTAGCTCCAATTTCTGCAGATAAACACGCACACACAACCCACAATTTCTCCATTCGCTCTGACGCACGGCAAACGCTCGAAACGTTAGCTTTGAAACTCTTTACGGTGGCCAATTTACGTGATGAACTCAGTTGATAATACCAAATTACCTTGTTATACTTTTCCATCGACGCAGCAACACAGTTTCTTTGGAAACTTACCAATTTATACTGTAACATTGGTTGACTGCATGTTTATTGATGTTTTCTGCTTACTTGAGAGAACGTCTCTCTTTATCAGGCAACTAAGAGTGACCGCATCTACGTCAACGCTCCAGGACAGCAACAAGAAGAAACTGAAAACATCCAACTCGTGAGTTTCAGTTACCTAAATCCAGGAAGCAACAATGGAGAAGAAAATGAAAGAAAGAATAAAGACGAAAGTGACAAAGAGCTAAATAAAGAAGAAGAAGAAGAAGAAGAAGAAGAAAGCATAACTCCAGGAGATTTGATGGCGTTTGCTTGGCAAATAAGCCGAGGAATGGTATGTATATGTATGATTTCAAAAGAAGCAAGCTTGCACTAGTTAGCTTGATGTCACAGACCAAGAAACTTGACTCCCGATTAATCATGGATAATCTCTCTGTTCTGTATTAGAATTCGAGCCTCTTAGCTTGATTTTCTCTTGTACTGATCTAAAATCGCAAGAGATTTTTCCTTTTGCTTATAAAATGCTCTTTTTCTCAGGAATACCTGGCTAAGAAGGGATTTATCCACCGCGACTTGGCAGCCCGTAACGTTCTTGTCGGAGAGAATAAAAGTGCCAAGGTGGCCGACTTTGGTATGACAAGACAAGCATATGAGGAGAGAGTCTATCAGGGGAAAACAAATCGAAAATTACCTCTGAAATGGATGTCAATCGAAGCTATTTTTCTTCAAACATTTACAACTCAAAGCGATGTGTAAGTGCATTCTATTTTCATGGCACATCTGCCGCGTGCAATGCTTGGGTTTTATAACTTAATTATAGTACACTTTTTTATTTCAGATGGTCTTTTGGAGTTTTACTTTGGGAATTGGTAACACTTGGTAAGTTAAAATCACGACTTGTTTCCCAATATGAAAAAGTTACTTCCTATGAAGCCAAAGTAACAGGACTCTTAAAATGTTATGATATTCTTGGTGTCCATTGTTTCTCACACGTCATGATACTGTACCCCTGTCTTTAGATCCTGCCCATCAAGTTTTGTAAGATTGAAATGGTACCTTTGGTGGCAGGTTAGAAAAAACAGAGTAATTATGAACTCCTCTCGCAAAACTAACGGTATTTTGTAAATGAAAACAGGTGGAACACCATACCCGACTATTGACAACAAAGAACTTCTCCGCATGTTGAAGGATGGATACAGAATGGAACAACCCGAAACCTGTGACAATGAATTGTAAGCCGAATCATCAAGTATTTAGAAAATTTTTATGACATAGCTTACCAAGTATTGAAACAAAGCATTAGCATTAAGGAACTAGCATGTATGAAACTGACTACCCGACTCTTGGGGTAACAGGTTTTTCTACAATCACAAACTTGACACGTTATCCTTAATTGAGATTATTTATCTATTGGTTCATTATTTACAGTTATGAGATGATGATGGATTGCTGGAAGGAAAACCCCGACCAACGTCCAGGCTTCACTCAATTGCGAGAGAAACTTGAGTTTATGATGCAAAAGGACAACCCTTATTTGGATTTAAGTGCCGTGGATGAAACAAGAGAATACTACAACGTTCCTTCATTTAACAGCATCATGGATGAGTCTCCAGATGAGGATTATGGTTCTGATAGCATCGTCCAAGAGAGGCGTAAGTCCTCCACGGATTCTGTGGAGCTGAATGATCAGCAAAATATGGAACAATCAAACGGAGACGTCAGGGAGACCTCGGAGCAAAAAGGAAATGAAAAAAACATAGCACAAGATGAAGATCAAGACCATTTTTCCAAGAACAAGAGTCCTAATGGCGTTAAAGCTGATGCTGACGTCAATTTTGATGAGCTCCAAATGATTTTATGCAGGCCATCAAAAAGGGGAGTTGCCTTCTAGCGCTGTAAATATTACCAGCTGCTATCGAAAAATCAAGAAAACTTTACCGATGCCATCCTTGAAAGACTAGGGCTAATATTGTCAGGAATGAGGAAGGTGAGAAGACGATTTTGATCCGATCTCTCGGCTTTCGGCGAATTCGTCTTGACACGAAAGTTCGCTTGAAGAATATTGTGCGCAATTGTCGAGACAAAAGTAGCATTTTAGCCGATATTTTATTTTTCTTCCGCTTGTCCTCAATTCTCCAGAGATAACGAAATGTAAATTTAACGACCCAGAAACGAGAGACAGCTGGATAAAATGAACGGCATTAATCATTTATCTTTTATAGAAGATTCTATGAGAAGATTTTATGATTCTTTTTAGTAAAGGCTACATTTAGCAGGAGTTCTTTTTACAGCAATAGCACCAGGCAAACAGCATTGAATCAGTTGCATAACATAAACTGTTGAGTTTTTTAGTGGTCTCGATGACACAAATTTGTAAAGGATAGTGAACGAGTATTTCTTTACTTTTAGTGAGTCAGAAATTAGTTTTGATAGAAATTAAGAAGATTTTATTCAATGAAACTTGTTGAAATTGATAATAGCAATCACTTTATTCGCAAAGAGGTCCAGATCTACAGGTAAAAGTTGTATTTGCATAGAGTATCTATTCCTTTTTTTTTCCTTTTAATTTTGAATTCTTACTGAACAGTCAAGTTCATTAATTTTCTTCAACAATCAAATAAAACGCAAAATCAAATGTCTTGGTTATCATAACAACGATTAGAGGTCAGTGAAAACGACTTTTAACGATTCGCCAAAGGGTAGAAAAAAAAAATTAATCTTTTTTCGGTTTTGGCAAAGTGAACATGGATGTTCCAAGGTAGTTTGGCTCCGATTCCTTCCAGCTAATGAACCATTCCTTGAAACTCTTGTTGGCCCATTCGACCTCGAGCCACAGACCAAGATTCTTGCTCTTGTTAAAGCACCTGCGAAGCTTTGATTTGCACTTGTCCTTTTTGCCTCGAAGGAGATGGTAGTACGCAAGTAAGTGAAGTCTTCGACCATCAAACACTGGGTGATGGTTAAGAGCATTCTTGAATTTCTTCAGGCACTAGAAATAAGATGATCGTTAGATGCGAAACGAAAAATATGAGACGGTATACCAGGAGTACGAGAGGATTTTGAAAGATCAGTCTTGCCAACATCAACTCCAGCCCTCCTTAACACAGCATAAAGTGTGTTTGAAAAACACACTTGCTTCTTTTAGTTCGTTGTTCATTTTGGAGATTTCCGCATATTCATCTCCAGTATCTTATATATCAAACAAACAATAATCAGTTTATATCCTCGAGACACTTGATATAACAAGCTGAAGCTCTTACTAAAATGGCTTGATGAATCAATGTTTTCCTACTGTTTCCTAAATCCAGCAGTTGGTTATTAAGATACCTCGATCGTTCCTGACTACTACAAATGAACAACTCTTGTACCCTGCATCACCTAGTGCTACACCTATAACAAATTCTGGTCTCTAACAAGGACAACTAATGTCATCATAACTAAACGTCGTTAAACAAGGAATCAATTTCAAAGCTTAGGAGTTTTTTGAATGTATGCCTTATGGTATTGGAAAGATTTGGAAGAGATCCTGGGTGAAGTGGGTTCATTGCTGAATTAGCGAGCCTTTTTGTGCCAGCAAATACAAATAAAAAATTTATACTCGTTAACCTAAATACCCATATATATATATATATGCTAAGTCTTCTGTTCATTTTTCATAAGGCGGGAAAAGAAAAGCGGATAGAGAAGCGTAGCGCGCGCAGCAGTACAAATAACCAACTGTCCAAGTACTCTGTTCGCACGTTATTTGTACTCTACTTTGTTCAGTTGGATAATAGGATTGGATAAACAGCTATCGTAGAGGAAGGAACGGATCAGCTAAAAGGGATCAAAGCTACGAACCTTTTGCACTTCATCCTCATTTTGTCGGTTTTTACCATCCTCCTGAAGTTTCAGCAACCAAAACTCCACAACCTTAGCATATCCGTGCACTGACATAAATACCTCGAGCTTGGATGGCACTACAGCTAAAACAGATTATGCTTTGCTCAACGATCTTGAATTCTTGTTTTGACCAAGGTTGAAAAGGTAACAACGAGATCGTTCGTTCTCAAATACCTATATTTTCACGTACATATTTCGCCTGTTCACAGACTCTCTTTCACCTGTTGAATTATCAGGTAAAATGCGGGCATTGTTTACGTTAGGGAAAGATGAGATTCTATGACAAAATGGAAAAGTCGACCACAATCTTCCGACTGTTGGAAAGATTTTAGATAACAGCCTGTTTCTTTATCTTAGATAAATGCAATGATACATACCAGAAGCAGATGACATTAAAAAATCAGCATTCTTCCAGTCGCGCCGTCGAGCATACCTGCCATAACAGCACGGTAATATAATTGCCTTAAAATCGTATTCAATAAAAAGCCAAAAAGTCGGGCAAGGATTGATTTTATTAGTCCCTCAAAGCTACCGGGACTCAGAGTGTGTTTCAGTCGAAAGCATTTGCTTATAAATATCCTTGATTCTGCCATTGTTGCCATTATCAATCCATTCAACATGATGTTGTTTGGACAACATCTGATCATTGTAACAATACATACCAAAGAGCAAGAGAAACGTTCAGGTAAAACTTCGGCGCTACATCAGAAGAAAAGGCTGGGTCAGTGGACATTTTTGCCGTAAATTGAACGATTTCGTCAAAATCTTCCAGTCGCCAACCTAAAATTTGGATATATAAAAAAAACCTGTTAATCTTCTTAACTTTTAGGAAGCGAATCTTCGATACAAGGCTATCACTCGTATCAATTCATATCAAACAACTATATAGCATTGATAAATTAACCTGCGCGTGTAAGAGTAGGCGGGCTACACTACCAGCTTATTAAAAGTGTGCAACCAGGCGAATTCTTCGACTGAGATAGATATGACTGATGTGACGTCAAACTCAGCGCATACAAACGAACTTAGTTCCGCCTTCGTTTTTGAAAATTACCTCTTTATCACCTTATAACGAATGAAAACTCGAGCCCAAATTTTATAACGGAACAACTTTATTGTTGTTGGTGTTGATGTTTTATTTGTTTGTTTGTTTGTTTGTTTGTTTGTTTGTTTTTGCCTCACCTGCCTCTAGGATCAAATCAAAGCAGCAGCACATGTACAGCGCTCGGCCATGTGAGTCACAGGAATCCAATGCTGCCGCATTAAGCTCCTTTAGAACATCAATGCAGTCAGGAATCCTGAGTAACGAACAGTAAACAAAAAAAAAGGAATCAAACTTACCAAACAGTGCATGAAGATGCTCGAGTAAAATTCATTGAATGAAGATATTTCTTGGCCAACAGCACTCGTTAGAGACTACCTCGCATGACTTTTAGAGCTCATCCCAGATTCTTTCACTTAAAAAAAATACAATTTTGCTATTCTCCGGCTGCAGATGGGTTACTTATCTAAATTAGCTAGGTTATCTGCAATTCGAAAACTTTCCTTGACTGTTTGCTGATACATGTTTGTATTATTTGATATAACGATGCACCCTACATGAGAGTAAAGCTCATAAACCCAGACTAGGGTTTCAAACCAAGCCCTTTCGATTCTCAGCTCTCTGCGCTTTGCATGCGAGACACCGCGCGCTCCTCTAGTTCCATGATTTTATCAGAAAAAATGAAACCTTTATTCTCTTACTGATTTATCAAGTTACATGTACTTTAGAATTTCTCACTTTGCTGTGAAAAGGAGACTCTGAGCAAGCAGAGGAATGCAGGTTGTCATCATATGCTGATCATGAACTCGTTTTGCAAGGTCAAAAGCGTGTTTTCCTGCAGCATAATAAATGCGTCACATGAGAATTAGATCATGCAACGGCTTTCAATTTTGCTTTAAAACAAATACCTTTGTAATGCGAATGAAGTGTGAGTGATGGCTCGTTCATATAAGTTGAAAGCAGTTACTGAATATAGTTCAACCAAAACCTGGAAACAAATATCGCCTAATTGAAAATCTGAATTTCCAGCTTCAGCCCGTTTTAGGACAGGAAAAGCCATCGTTCCTGCAACTATGATGAAACGATAATGCTTCGGATTATTAGAGGAATATTGATTTACGACCGTAAATAGCCACACGATCGAAGAAATGATAACGGCACCCAGCAAATACAAATCTTTGAGCAGCCGGTAATTGTCTCTAATTCCAAGCTAACTTAAACCTTAATTTTTATTTTGATAAAAAATTTTTATGCTTCACTATTTCACGAAAAATTTGTTTCAGCAGAAAAGGTTCCTTTATTAAACGTTTATTCCCTATCATTAACATGCTATTCTCCGAACTGTTTTCTATACGTCTGCTGGGGTGCTAACAAGGAGAATTTGATTGATAATCAGAAGCTTCTTGAGGTGGTGATCATTCCTTTATTTCGCGACTTTAAAGTGTTATTCAGGGGTGATATTGAGACGAGAAATAAGATGCTAATCACCCTAAGGAGTTAAAAAGGGTCAATAGTAGAATTCACACTTGAACATGCCAAGGCGAAAACTAAAGTATCCTGTACTTAGATCTCTCATGAGTAGTGAATATTTTAAGACAGATGGTTACCTTACAAACACAACAAACCTGAGTTTATAGCTATCGACACTCCCCCAATGGCCAGTCTGAAAGCGAGGCTAACACAGTACAGATGAGCCACTGTCATCATATCTTCTGGATCTGAATACAAAGACGGATCTTCGCATCTATAATAACAGAAAACAACAAATAAGGCAGCCTTGTTTATCTGATGTGATTTCCTTGTACACATGTAAGACTAAAGCGGTCTATCTTATTTTTCGCAGTAAAGTACTTTTTCACTCATGACTGGAAATGAACAAATCTATCCAGGGTAGAGCGAATATTCATATTTAAAAGCTTGTTAGCCGGGGTATTGACCAGCAAAAAGAGCCTTAAAAAATTAGTTGAATAACTTTGTGGTGCGGCTCCTGATGTGAAATAAAGAGAATACATATGCAATGAATTCAGCAATTACATATCATACAGCTTCCAATAAAGGCATTGTACCTGTTCTTTCCAATTTTCTCATAGGTTTTTCCCCAGCCTTTCCAGCCAACGAGATGAGAACACTCAACAACTCCTGCATATGCGTTGATAAGCTGTAGAAAGATATTCAGGAGATCCATCATAACGAATGATTGTTTGTTGGGTACGCTGATGATTCGGGATTCATCTACATGTGGTAGTGTAGAAGTAAAGCCCTTTTTGATGAGGGTTCCTCGACAGAAGAATGTCGATAATTTCTTGATCTGTTTTATAAATTGAATCCTGTCTTTAGGATATTTCTACATTTTCGGGTTTGGTACGTTTTAGCAGATATAACTGGTCCTTCCCTCTAGGGGACGGGAAATGGATCAAAAATTCTTTCTGAATACGGCCATCTAGAATTGAATCGAAAAAAAAATACCAAGAAAGGAAATGTAGAACAAATGGGTACATTCTATCCTATTCCTATTCCTATCCCCCTTAAACACTCGAAACGTTTCCGATTTCCCCCAAACAAACCTCGTGAAGGTTCTCTTCAGCCTCTTCAGCGGCGTTCAATTCTTGAAGAGCAGCCATCAGTGACCACTTCTTTAGGTGAAGGGAGTGATACACGTGACTCAGGTGGCTCAGGCATCGAGACTGTTCAATCAATCGAGCTGATTTGTCACTGTGAAAAAAGAAAAAAAAGGAATATAGATAAGGCAGCTTCGTCTACCAAATTTATACTACATTTTCAACTTTATTTTCTCAGTCATGAGAACTTATTGATTCCATCCAGCAAATTGTAAGAATCTAACGCGCGCACAAACTCACAGACACTAACCCCGCTCCTCCTATGTAGTAGCCGGGCAAAAACACGTGCAAATAATGACGTAATGCTTCCTTCAAAAGCCTCACATAACATCCAAAATCCGTCTTGGGTTGTTTCTTTCCCAGAATGAGCAGCGCCGCTGACAAATGCCTCAGAGCCTCATGAGGTCGATTCATATGAATCAATGCCTGTGAAAAGAACCATATTTAAAACACTGTGAACTGACATCTAATTACGTACCCATCTTGGTCTTGGTAGTGGTAGTTTGAAGAAGTTCAGAACATTACATGGCCACTTAGGGATACGAATTTTATCTTCTCGTGCTGAAAGTATCTCTCACGAATGAGCGAAGCGAAGATAAAATTGGTATCCTCAAGCGGCCATATAAAATCCTCTATATATTTTATTTCATCGCTTTATTTGTAAAACGTTTGGGAAAATGAAAGACCCCAAACGCACTCGGTCCCAAACGCCACACGCCCCTATTTTCTTCTCTTCACCTTTGAGAAAATCAAATTACTTGATTTCTCCAAGATGGCGGCCGTCATGGTGCCCATTGAAAAGGCGTGTTTCCACCAGAGGCAACCACAATCACCATACATAGTATCTCCTACGTATACATTTAATGTTATAGATTTTGTGGTGGTTTGACTTGGCTTCTTGGAGTTGAGTAAAAGGGTGCTTCAGTTAATCTGAGAATAGTTGTGTCGCTAAAGTCAACTCTTACCTGACCAATAAGACTTTCCACACGAGCAGTTTCTTCTTCAGCTGCCAGAGGCTCCTCGTCATCCTTTGTCTCTTCAATCAAGGTTTGCACTTCATACAGATAAGATAACGCTTGCATGTTAGAAGAAGTGGCCAATGCTGCCGCCCCAGACTCGGTCAGGTAACGCATTGTTTTTAGCTTGTTTCCAGCCGCTCTCCAGTGATCAACAAGTTGAGGGAAGACCGAAGCAAGCACCTCGGCACATTGACAGTTGCTAAGGTCAATTACAGTCTGTTGTGACTCTGCTGAATCTTCTAAGTCGATATCAACATATTCTTCTTCTCCTTCTCCTTCTTCCTCTTCTATTTGTGGAGTCGAAAATCGCCTTGTTTCAGGCCCTGTACAGAAAAATTAAAATAACTAGTGATTAAAATCTTCTCTACGGCAAAATTAATGTAACAAACTACCTCCCCGTACAGAGCGCTAAATCATATCATTACCTCCTATCATAGTGGAGTTTTTCTTTGAAGAGAATCGTCTCAATTTTTTCTTCTTTGTGACACCTTCATCTTGCGCTCCATCTTCTTTACCAGGGCTTACAAATTTTTTAGCACAGGGAAGTCTTTGCAACCAACTGGTCCTGTGATCATCAACTGCCCGATTAACGACAGCATCGTTGAAAAACCCTGCAGTATTGGCAGATTTACTACCAATACCTTCCGTTTCTCCAGCTTTTTGGTTCACCACTGGAGATTCTTTAAGTTTTTTCGTCTTGAGAGCAAAATAACACAATTGGTTACATTTTTCTCTGAATATTAACGATACTCAATATTTATTAGTAGAATGTCAACGATATCAAAAAGAGTACTTTAAATGTATATTGCACATTGAAAGTGAACACAAAGTATTTTGAGAGTCTACGCGTACGAATTTCCATAATTATTGATGTACATTCACCCTTTACACCCTAACATCACTATACATTTTCTCAAAACTGTTCTCGAAATATTGCTTAAGATGCTGACAAGGAGAATTCGCCTAACAATCCAGAGCTTCTGAAGTTGTTGATCAATTATTTTCATGACCCTTATGTTTAAGTCAGGGGAGATATTGTAAGGTGAAATTAGATGCTAGTCACTCTTACGGGTTAGAGGGTTAAGATACAGCAGACGAACTTACCTTCAAAGCATGTTTTGCCTCAGAGATGTCAGACGATCTTTCGTGGGTACGCGAAGAAAACGCTCCTTGACTTTGCACCTTCTCCCTCATCTCTGCTGTCCTCCTACGCTTCGCCATCTTGGAAGAAACTCTTGCTTGTGATCTTCCTGACGAAGCTAAAGGAATTATTATTGATGCTATAAAAATTTCA